TTAAAGGGGCGGGCGCGGCCCGCGGGAGAGCAAACAGCGCACGTGGTGGAGGGGAACGGGGCGGGGTGCTCGGAGACGGTACACAGTGTGCAGGGATCAAACACAACACTGAGCTCGGAAAGCATGACATCGAATAACCCTTACTARCCTTTATAATGAAACACAGGGATGGGCAGCTTAGGGCGATGAGCACACGCTGGGCTGGGACCTGTGGTCCTGTTTATAGTACTTCCAGCAGCAATCAAAGTTATCACAGTAATCACAGGTGTTGTTGTGTTTTAACATTTGACCGCAGTGCACCTGTYACAACTGTAATCTTTCTATTGTGGTCTTTGTTTTGTAGAAAAGGAAGCGGAACTTTGGAATTAGACCAAAGTGTCTTACTACCCTTCATATAGCTCTGTCCCTTATGCCCAAGAAATTAYTTCATTTAACCTTTTAAAATGGCAGAAAATAATGAGCATTCAGAGTTCAATCTAAAAGGAACTTGTAAATCCCACAGAGAAGAGAGAAGCTGTGTGCAAGAGGGCAACCACTGTTTACAGCACTCTCCCTATACTATCATTCCACATTTTTAGTGCAAGATTTGAAGGTAGCAGCATCGACAAAGTGTTACTGTACCATTTTTGACCCACAAAGGCAGAGACTGCACCTAGTACTGTTTTACCACAAGAACTGAAGTTAAGTAGATGCATAAAAACCACTAGTCAAAACTCACTTTAGCTACATTCACACTTGTGTCTACCCGGATGAATTTATTTCAACTTGACTTGATTTAAACTGTTTCAACTGGTAGTAGTCAAAGAAGAACACCAGCAACGTCCACCAACATTTAATAGAACAATGCTAAAATTTAATAGAATATTGCAAACGACCTTTACTTATGACAACTAACATTCAAAGGATGAAAAAGTGTACATATATAAAAAAATTGTAATAAACCACTTGAGCCAGTTTCTGCCTTCATGGAATGCAGATGCCTGTTTTTCTTCCTGTAACAAGCTCTTGCTATTTAATTCCCTTCCATTAACCTTAGAATTGTATTTCAAAATACCAATAATTCATAACTTGAAATGGAGAGGAAAAATCTACAAAGAAATACCAAACTCTTGAGCAGCATGGAGGTAAGAACTCCCAGCACATCTGATGTCRCACCACCTCCTCCCAACACAGACTAGAAGAGCTCCATGTGCATCTCCACAAACACCATGATGGAGAAATAAAAATTTTGTCTTCCAGGCTCAGAGCAAGAAGAAACAGCATCTCAAGCTACAATCAGCCTGTAAAATATCTTACCATCTTTGTCACCAGAATAAGTTAAATTACATGTAGTTTTTTGGATATTCATTATATAATCAGTTTTTTTTCTGTAATATTTACCTTCAGTTCCATATTGTRCTACCTATACATACAATTTTTTTATTGTTGTTACATTTCACTTTGTGAAACACTATGATTTTAGGGTGCAGCTAGACAAAAATTATATTGTTGTCTGTATCACAGTCACTTAAGCATAATGCATCCCTGGGTGACTAAATGGACCACTCATTAAATTCACATTTCAGACTGTGATTCACAGAGACTAAAGCATAATTAAGTCTCTCTCTCCCTCTGTCCTCCCCCCATTTTCTTTTCCCTAGATTTTGTAATCCAAGTGTGATAGCAACCTGTTAATGCAAACATCCAGAGCCTTACCTGCTCCATGTCCAGCAGCACTTCAGGCATTGCCAAACTACAGAAGGAATTACCAGCCTAGGAGCTCATTGCAGCTCAACYGTGCACTTGTCCCTTTGTCTGCTGTGCCTGCAGAGAGCACATGGACTGAGAGCAGCACCGGCTCTGTTGACCTTTGAAACCAAAACACAAATCCAAGCCTTACATCACGTGTRGCTCTGAATCCTGTTAAGCTTTTGGTCTGGTCCCAGTGGTACCATTTAAGCAGCTCAGTATGAGCTTCAATTTTTACTTCATAACAGCCAGCATGAGCAAGCACAGCCATTGTGTGTGTAAAATTCACTCAAAGCACTGGCGCTGAGTCTTATACGGTTTGTCTTTTATAGCAAACAGGAGGAGGGCTCTAATTAGGTCAGGCAGGTTGAGAATTCTAAGAGCTCTTCATTTTACATTTCAACTGAGCACAGCCCAGCTCTTGCTACAATACACAAAGTTGAACAATCAGAGAAATAACTTTGTGTTAAATCATGGATTTTCCAATTAAAAAAAAATCTTCCACAGCATGAAAGTAACGGATTCCTGCAGTGAATACTTAAGTCAGTTGAGCTATAAATATCAAGGTTTCAGTTTTAAATGTCATTTCATATGTGCATGAAAGTGGCAATGCCTGCTAGACTGAAGCTGACACAAAGCTCTCAATTTCCCCTTGAGTTCCACCTTTTGCTTCTCTCCCCASTCTGCTCTACACGATTTATCAATATTTTAAAGCTCAAGGATCACCCCTGCTGTAAGGCTAGCAGAATTATTTGCTGGTTCCCCTTCCTTCTGTCAATACAAACATGCTCATGGCAGCTGTATCAAACAAGGGTGCAGCAACGTTAAAATCCCAGTCCTGTGACACCTGCCATTTTTGGCTTCTCTTGGCRTATTTGTACTTCTGTCAAAAAGTCCTGCTAATTTGACATAGGACATGTCAAACACCAAAAATGAGGGGCATTCAAAAAAAAAGTRCCTTAACTCAGTGTGTCTATTTCTATGTTTTGAATTTGAATTTACTGTAATCTTCCATTATCATTCAGATAAATGCACATTTTCTCTACAAATTTTAGCCCAATTACATCTTTCACACAACAAAACTTGCTGGTTTTTCTCCCTAAGGATGGAACTCCAGTATCAGATAGCCTGTTTATTAAAATGTCTTTCAACACTTCAGGCTGCTAAATTGAATACCAASTACTCTCTTAATTAAAACACCTGAAGCTAATCCTCATCCTCAATCTTCAGAGGATCAAGTAATCCAGCAAATGCACAAAGACAACATTAACAGACAACATCTAGCAACTTCTGTCCTTGGACTTCAGGTGCATTGTCTGTATGTCATTTCCTAGGAATTATTAAATCTCTGGAAGCTCACAATGTCAGCATAAACAGCAATACCTTCCAACAGCTGGGTATTGCCCTTCTGCAGGACCTCTGCACAGAATATCTGCACAGGCATACAATAACAAGAACACACAGTTCCACCTTGCACTTAGGTTTGGTATTTACTTCTGTATYAAGAGAAATAAGAATTGCAGGTTCTAAGGATTGTACAATTCAGCTAAATAATTTCCCTAAGAAAGCTCTCTAAGACAAGAGAACATGTAGCTTTTGAGGCAAGACTGACATTGGGCTTTGTTATGAAACAAGTAGAACAAAGAACATCAGATCAATCACACTGYAATGCAATTTTTGGTTTTATCCCTGGTTTACAAAGGAAATGGACAAATTCTTTAAATTAAAATGTTTATTGTGCTAAAATAATTCCAAATGCAGTTAAATTCTTTCCCGCTTGTTGAAGTTCCAGTTTGTACAGTGGGTGTCCTCCTACCCAAGTGAGACAAGTTCTGTTGTTACTCCTTGTCACTAGCACTGAGCACTTACAACAGCTGGCTACAAAGATCTCATGGCAGTTTAGGAGTGCAGTGAGCACAGCATTGCTCTTAGGAACCTAATCTTAGCCACAGCACACAAACATTTAGATAAATGCAGTCAATTTGACTTTAACCTCAAACTGCYCTTCTGAAGATTAACAGCTGCAGTATCTAGCCTCAGGATTTAAATTATCATATACTGAAAATAGATCCCATAGAATATCAAAATGAAGTGTACAGTCCCATTTTCTACACTCATTCTGTATTGTGTAGGCCACAGAAGTAAAAGGGTCTCTTGGCAGTACTGCTACCATTGGTACCAAAGCAGCTAGAAACAGAAAAAAAATCATTTTACCTAGAATTGTATACATGAGASACAAAAAAATTAAAAATATTTATATAAAAAAAAATCAAACAATTTGCATGAAACTGATTTAATTTGTCATCTAATTCTCCAGTGCTTATTCACCTTTTCCAAGCTCAAGAAGCTCTGTTCAAAACTGGACTACGCAGCTTCAGCAGACCCAAAAAAGTGCAACAGTGAACACTTTTCAGAGTTCATGCTTGTGAAATTGTGTTACCAGGAGCCAGGAACATGCAGTCACCTGYTGCTTCTCAATAAAACATAGTTTTTCTAAAAATATATAATTTTAAATAATTTTTCYAGTGCTCCTACTGATTTGCATTATGTACAGCATCCAAGTTCACCTTGAAGAAGCAGTCTGTTGAAGTCTTCTGTACCACATGACTTTATGGCTGCTTTAATATCAACAACACTTCAAATTTTGTTTTTATTACCTGCAATAGAAAAAGGCTACTAAGTGTGCGTTTTTCACTATTGCTCCCACCACATGAAGACATTTTTTTGTCTCCTCAGGGGCAGAAGGCCCTACACTGAATCCAACAGAAAGCCATGACTTCAGCCCCTGGAACAGACACTCTAATGAAACTCTTTTCCCTATCCTGCTTTCCTTGGTGTGCCCCCATGCTCTCCATCTTTCCCTCCATTCCACATTTATCTGCAGGCCTTTTGCATCTKACCTTGACACTTCCAGTAGTGTAAGGTACTGTCAGGTAGCAGCTAAAGAATCAAGATGCAAAAGTGCTCTGGTTGAGTACTTGTACCCCACAACCCGTACAGGAGACACTTCCTGTCACCTCATCAGCTGTAATGTGTGAGCTGGGTGACAAAAGCCAAGTGGCTGTGCTGTCTGAGCTGGCACAGCACCTGTTCCTGTCAGCTTGGCAGGATTTGGGCTGGAAAGCACAACAGCAAACTGCACACTGGGAGTGCCCCATGGATGCATCCTCCAAGATCTGCTGTGAAACAAGAGATGCCATTCTCCTTCCCCAGATGCAGCAGAGTGTGCAAGGCTCTCCTACCTTCTTGGGTTTAGCTGAATAGGTACAAAGACTACATCAATAAGCTTACCTTCTTTCAGAGGTGTTTTTGGAGGAATATTTTCCTTGCTATCATGCAGAAAAGCTTTGGAAGGGTCAAAACGCTTAAYGCCCTGTACTGCACACAGCTGCTCCTGAAGATGTTTGCTGGTTTGCTTTTCCTTGGCTAGCAATGCACGCAGTTTTGAGACATCCTAGAGAAAACAAAATTTAGAAATTAGCTGAAAACCAGAAAAGCCTGCTTCATCATGTACAGAGGGAGCCCTTTTGCCTAATGCTAAACATACAGTTATTGGTGACATTAAAACCCAATCCAAACATATAGGTGTCAAGAAACCAGCAGCAGTGTACAGGTGCTGTCTAACACCACTAAGCAGTCTGGCAGTCTGACACTTTCAGCAGATAGTTTATTAASTCTAGGACACCCAAAAGAGGTACAAAAAGCCAAGCAAGCTCAGAGTAGARGTAGTTGTTTGTACAGCTGATCCCTCTACATGCTGTAAATTCAGTCAAAAATAAAAGWTTCTCTTGGCATTTCTGGAGACTGGTGGTTTATTGTAATCTGCTTCATGCAGGGAATTTAAGAACCACAGAAATAAGTAGCTTGTAGGATTAGTCTATAAATATTTAGAGCAACAAACAAAGGCATCAAGCACATTACTAACTTTCAGATTTCTTATTTTACATTGCACAAACCTGCTTCAGCTGGGTGTTGTTTTCCTTCAACTTCATAACATGCTTGATTTTTTGCTTCATGTTCTGGTGGCCAAGCAATTTAGCATATGCATCACTCAGTTTATTCAGTTCTTCTTGGGCTGCCCCATGCTCCTCCAGGAGTGCATTTTTCTCTGCTTCAAAAGCATCTAGTTGTTGCTGTAATACATTTCAATCTCTTAGAAATGTTTCAAMTAAGCATAGCTTTTTACTGAACTACAATTTGCCAAGGAAGATGAGTTTGGGAAGRGGAAAGCTGGTTCAATGAACAGTAACTTAGGAAACCACTACAGAAAAATGCCTTAGAAYGGGAAGCAGCATATTTAAGAGTAGAACTTCAGCCAACTGCCAAAGTCTCATGTTAACCCATACCAACAAACACCTACTTCACAACACACCTGAAAAGGCTTAACTTTGTTATGTAAATCTTCATACAGTTTACGCCAGGTCTTGATCTCTTTATTTAAGCTAGAGGTCACATCTTCACTTATGGTTTTCCTAAAAAGCAAGAAGTGGAGTTTCATTATGTTCATTGTTAGCTCTTGGCACTTCTTCCCAAAAGAACTTAGATGTGCCATAATGTGCAGTTATAGTTTGAGAAAATCACCTTGATCTTTCTGCTTCAAGTTGTCTTTTCAAATCTTCAGTTTGCTCTTCAAACTGTTCCTGAAGTTTGGTCATTTGTGCAAGGCAAGACTCCTTTGATCTCTCTGTTTCTGCTTCTTTTAGTGCAAGCTTGGTCTGGACTTCTAAAAGCATCCTGAGGAAAAAAACATAGTTCATTAATAAGCCTTCATTTTGTTTCTCCCAATACTCTCAATCTAAAACCCCCAAGTAACCATGGTTGAAAAGCTGTTAATAGAACTGAAACRAAGGTTTGCACAAACAGTGCCACAAAGAAAAGCAGTAGAGAAGRCAATTAAGTTAAAGATGAACAACATTTTGATCTTTTCCTGTAAAGATGCAAGCAAAGAATGATGTTTCTAATTCATGGCTGTTCAAAGCCAGCAGCTTTTAGCAGGGATAGTTTAGTAGTTAGGCTTTCCATGCAGAGATTTGGAGATTTGCTCTAGCAGGAACTGATCAAGACTGTTCAGTGTGGATGTATTCAAGATAACAAAAACCCTATATCTAAAAGCACTGACTTCTCTTCAGCCCTAGCTGTTTGCTCCACCCCTACCCTGCCACCTCACCCAGGAACTTGTACCAGTTCTAATAGAAACTGGAGACAATAAGCAGGTGGGGAGGAAAGAAAGGAAACATCTCAACCTGCACAGAACCATAGAGAACACAGATCACTAAACTGCTGTCAGACACTCAGAGAAACATATCCTCAGCTGCTGGCCTAACACAGCTTCTTGGGTATTATTGCTCATCAGCAGCACTGTGGTGCCTCACATTAGGCAGAGAACCTCAGTTTACATCACCACAGTGTGGCAGGTCATGAACGGTTAATTGGCATCTGCTTGTGAGCAGACTTTGAGGTGATATCATGCATATTAACCTAATAAATTTTGTCTGTCAGTATTTCCGACCTTCTGCACTGGAAAAGCAAGAAACTTCAGCTTACACCAAATACTGACTTATCCAGTAGAGCATCACAAAAAATTCCAGTTAGAAAGGCAAGCCTTCGTTTGCATTCCTTAGCTTAAGGAAGAGTGTGTCTGTGTAGTACCTTGCACATTCTTCATTTGCTTTGTTTTTAGCGTATTCTGCTTCTTGAAGCAAMTGCAGATTCTCTTTGCCTACTTTTTTTAGGTTGGCAACTTCTTCTTGCAGAGAGGTATTCTCCAATTTAAGACTGGAAATTTCTTCAGCTGATGTTTTCTTGTAGCTGGTATTACAGTACAAATAAAAAAAAATCTTGTTATTTCAGGCAAAACACAGATTGTATTATTCTTGTAAGGTGTGAACATGTCAAACTCATGCTAGCAAGTATCAGAGATTATATTATCACAAAATATAGCAATGTACTGGCACTGCTGAATCCAAAGGTAAAAAATAAACCACAACACAGTTCCATAAAGCTGTAAGTAGTAACACTAGGATGAATGCTGTAGTACAGATATTTCCATATTTTTGTAGCTACTCTAAAACACAAAAGACCTACTCTGTCTGAAGTTTAAAATAAACAAAGCACCTTGCTGTCTGGAGTTGGCATACACTGGATCCTTCAGGAGTGCCATGCATACCCAGCAATAACAGTTTCACTTTGTACATAGTTGTACAACCTGAATATTTTAAGGTAAAGCATTTGCAGTAACTGTAGTAAACTAATCTCAATCCCGTGCAAATTTTGAGTCTAAGCAATTCTTTTTGCAAGACATTCCAGTGCAAAGAAAGTTATCATCAGTAAYAAATCTCATTGTGATTCAAGAGCACATAACTCCTCCGACTGGTTACATTTTGGAAGAAGAAACATCTACTTTCCTGAGCTAGATACTGATACTGTCACACTCACCTAGTACTCAAGAAATAAATTCTAAATGCCATCAAATACCATCATAAAATCCTCTGCTCTAATGCTCAYATACAGTGTCAAGTACAAAGGCACATAAGTGAGCAGTGCATTTTATTGTCATCTGTCSTATACATTAATCAAACTTTAAATACCTTTCAAAGTCAGCAACAGTCTTTCCAAGCTCCTGCAGTGCATTGCTGTGCTCTTCTTGGATCTGCAATACAGCACTGCAGTGCATTTCCTTCATTTGCTCCAACTCTGCAGTCTTCCTGAAATAAAAATTCAGCATTGCATACTGGAGACAAGTATGTCTGAACACATCACCAAGTGCTGCTATCAGTTATGGCTTGAAGCAGCAGCAATAAATTGTGACAAACCAGAAACTTCTCATATACTCAATCTCCAGAAGAGGTATTACTAAGGATTTCCCCATGGAGATCTAGAATAGACTGAAGACCTAACAGTAAACTTATAATTCAAGAAACAKCTGGTTTCAAAATCCTTTCCCATCATTGCCCTCTCCAGGACAGAAACAGCCAGCACACGTCTCACAGAGCTTGTCCAGCACAGMAAAGTCACAGCACTACAATACCAGCCTTTAAAGCTAGTCCTAACTGGCTTTTTTTTTGTTGTTTTAATATAAAACAAAGTAAAACGGACTCAAGTTGTTACTGATACTGACTCAAGTTACTACTGGTAGTGAATAGATCCAATCATTATCAGTAATAGAAATAACTTCAGATCTGCTCAAGTCTCTAAAACATGAATTGGGCTCAGAAGCTCTTTTATATAACTGATTTAACATTTTTCCTTTCAAAGCTTTAGAATCGGAAAGTTTATTTCACAAACCCGTTCAACTTTTCTTGCRTCTGTGTGAGTTCAAGACTTTGAGATTTGATTTCCTGTTCCAATCGCTTCACCARCTTTTCAGCTTTCTTCTCCTTTGTATGCAATTGGTTCAGCTCCTTCATGGCATCATTCAGCTCTTCTTCCAGAAGATGTCTCTCACTTGTTACTTCATCTTCAAACTCCAGTAACTTCTGCTGCATTGATGCAGATGACTCCTGCGTGCCAGAGTACCACAGATTTTAAAACTCTCAATACTTTCTGGGTAGTACAAAGGTAATTTGCAGTGTTTACATTTCAGATCTATAGGAAGAACCAAAATTCCCCTCACACCAGCAACAATTCTTAGATTTATTAGATGACAGAAGTTCCTACAGGCCAGCACCCACTTTGCCATATTAATGATGATGTAATCAGTGGAATGCACATATCATGCATAACCTAAATCAGAAACAGTAGGGCCAATCCTTGGGATTACAATCTGTTTTTAKACTAATTTATAATCTGCATTTACCTTCTCTTGCTGCAGCTGAGATACGACCTCCTCATGTTTCTGAAGCAATTTTTGGTGTTCTTGTTCCACCGAATGAATTTTTTTTTTCAGGTCTTCTATTTCAGCATTCATACTCAGGAACTGTCCTTTGGTCTCAGACAACTCTTTCTCTGCATAGAGAAATTGTCAATATAACACAAATTCCCTTCTCTATCTTCAAATAAYTACAATATCTACTCTTCACAATACTTCCATTCCAGCTTTTGTTTGTTTTTCCCTTGCCTAACAAAAACGCAAGAGAACCCCAAACAAAAAAAATCCCACACCTTAAACCCATCTGGAAATTCCTCAAATTTGGCTCGAGGTACCACTTTAAAATAATTTTAACAGCAGGAGTGTTTGGACCAGACAATTAGCCTTCACCAGAACAGCAGAACAACTACATGAGCTCCCCAAAGGTTCTTCCACAAACTAGCACACAAAAGGCAGCTGGTACAGAAAACTGAGTACACGTCTCAGATGGCAGAGYTGCTGGTGCTGGGAGAGAAGGGGTAAGGAAGTGAAGAAGGATCCTTGCCACATTGCTAACACCTCAGTGAATCTGTGTACAAGCTGCTAACAGTGAATTCAGACATTATACTGCTTCTCACTGAACAGTAAGGAACAAGAACATAGTGTTCATCTCCAGATTAAAGCCACTCSTACAATTTTCATTGTATGCTAACTATCCAAGTTATACTCCATGGAAACAGTAATTCAGGCCTAACAGATGTCAGAGGAGAAGTGATTTCCCTGTTATCAAAAGCATGCCTTGGTGTTTCCAGCTGGAGCTCAGAGTCTTGTCATTTGGAACAAACCAGAATAAAATGACATTTTAGAGGAAACCCAATTGAGATGCTTCAATACCTATYATGATCCCACATAGGGAACAGTGTACAAGAGCTAACTATTACCTTTTTCCTGTTGAAGCAGTTGACACCTCTCATTTAGTTCTTTTATCAGTTTACRTGATTCCTCCTCTTTGGTTTTGAGGGTGTTCCTCAAGATCTCAATATYTTGGTCTTTTTTACTCAATGTCTCCTCCATCTGGGTGACTTCTAGTTTGTATTTCTCGGCTGTTTCTGCAACACTACTGCAGAAGAAAATTCAGACACTTTTTACCACYAAATTTCATTTGTAARCTTACACTTWAACACAAAAGAAAAATATTTAAGCWCTGCTGGTTTCCAAGAGGCAAACTGCCTTCTCGAGAACTATTTGCTGTTACCTGAGCTCTGTGATGTATTCCAGAAGTTTTTCAGTGTCAGACTTTTCTTCAACTTTCTCTCTTTCAGTAGCAGACCTGAAACCAGGCAGTTTTTAGGATATATTTTAAAAACTTGAGACTATCATGCCTCAGTTGAGCTGACAAACTGGTATTGGCCATGAAAAGTGATTACACCCTCTTTCATACTTGTTCCAGATGGTCATCTTATTTGTAGTAAAGGTGCTGAGCCATATTCTGCCACAAGCAAGATGCCAGAAACATAATAGTGCATTAACATAAGGCAGCTGCTGTAGCAAGTTAGCATCTCCTCCCTTTCTGACTTGCACTATCTGCATTACTACCTTTGGGTATTTTAACAGCCAGGTTAATGCTGCAGTGCCCATTGTACCAAGCTGACATAAAATATGGCTTGGCAGTTCATCCTTCCTAGGTCACTATCCTCAGCAATAGCTGCCATGTTAGTGCTGTTCCTGTGCAGCACATGACATTATTTGGGCAGCAGAGCAAGTGCTGAGAAGAACTCTGCTCTGAGTTCTGTCCCTCTGAGAAGAGGGATAGAACTCCCTCTCTATCCCCACAAAGTTGCTGAAGCCAAGAGACTGCAGGTGCCCTTCTGAGCATGTGCCTACACCAAAGCAGCTCTGAAGGCACCACAACAACTCTTCAGTGAACTTCTCTTGAGACCGTGAAGGCATTCATCAAATTCATGTCAAAAGCCTGGCTGCAGAATTAGCATTTCAGCTCCTAATCTAATGCTTTTCTATTCTTGCTTATTCCTAATTTAGTAGTCTAAAGGGCCAGAAATACCCACAAGAACATCATCCTCCAAGCACAACAGTTTTTTCTCCAAACAGAATCTTCTCTCCCACCCCATACCCAAGAAAACCCCACCCACACCACACTGGGAGACAAAGGGTTGACATGATACAGTTTGTCTTTTGGAAAAAGGTTAGATACACTAGAGAAACAATGTTTTGCATTCATTCCTGATTACATCAACTGATACTGTCTGTTCCTTCTCAGTAGGGAGACAGCCTCTATTTTCATGACTATAAAGCACAGAAAACACAGCTAGGTCATATCAACTCATCAATTCCCTTCCTAGCACTTACAGTTTCTCTTGTAACTGTGCTACTTTTCCTTTTGAATGTTCAAGATTCCTTTGCACTTCCTGCAGCTTCATTTCCATGTCTTCCTGTTTGGCCAGTGCAGTCTTAAAAAAAAACAAAGAAAACCCACATATTAACATGAGATTTGGTAAAGGAAAAAAAAAAAGACCTCGTGTAAGAGACAGTGGTAAACTGAAAACTAATTCATCACTGTGGTTTAATGATAGCACCTGCTACTATGCTAAATGTGATTGCAAGTACCCCTCAGTGAAGATATCAGCCACTTGTTACAACAACCACCACAAAGAGCTTCAAACTGTACTGAGGATCACTGCTTTTGTTCCTGAGCAGCTCAGAATTACTGTCCTGTGCAAATGATCATACCTTTTCCTTAGCATCCCTCATATTTCTGAGCTTCATCAACTCCATGCACAGGCTGCTCATTTTCTTCTGCACACCATCTTCAGACAGCTTGTTAGAGAAGAAGATAAAGCCAGTAAGCACAAGTCCTTTTTATTAACTGCTGCTCACACAACCCTTTCCAAGCCTTGCCTCTTGCTCTGTGTTAAGACAGAAGGGCACCAGATTCCAAACCAGACATGCTATATGTCCAAACACATTCTGATCAGCAATTAAAGCTTCCTCTTGCACAGGAARCTTAAAAACAGTGAAGACAAAGCAAAGAGGCACTTATTTGTCTGAATACCTTTGACTTCAGTAGTTCATTGCTTCTTGTTAGCTCCAGAAGCTGTTTCTTCAGGCATGCAACATTTGCCGAAAGAGAGGTTTTCTCCTGAACTGCAGAACTCAGTTTTGCTTCAATCTTAACAAAATCTTCCTCYAGAGCTTGAAGTTTTTTATCCTGCTCCCCACGTTCTCTCACTAATGCACGAATCTAAAACAAGAGGAATTTTCTGTATTTCCTACTACCATTAGTTTAGYCACTCCTAGAAAACCACAGGCATAAGAACCCAAACTGTATTAACTTTCATTCAGAATATATATCTTCAACTCTCATTCACAGGAAGACAGAAGAATTATCACCACAACTCTCTGTTAAAATACATCAAACAACAGCAACATTTAATTTGACTTATTTTATGCTACTGAGCCCATACACATTAAAATAAAAATTGTCTTAGCTTTGGTATGCAAGAGAAGCCAATTCTCCATTTTGGCTGTGACATTTGAGACACAAGGCTTCAATTAGTACACAGAAGTGTACTGATACAGTTTAGGGTGACTCTTAAGCATTAAAAGTAGGACAAACAGTCAGCAAAAAATCTCAGCWAACAATGGTTAAATAAAACGACCTTTTTAGGGTACCACACATAGGATTTAGTTCTCTTTTTGAAAAGACTAACAGGATACCTATTCACAATCAGCAGGAATTAATGCAAGTGGGAAACATGACAGGATTGCACTCACATAATATATTCATACCTCCTTCTCTAGTGCCTTCTGTTTCTTCTTCTCTTTCATAAGCATAAGATCTTTTCTAGTCTTCACAACTCCATTAGCGGGCTTTGGAAAAGAGATGCATTAGAAATCTCTAGCTGCATACTAGCTGAACACAGTTAAATGTAAGAGAGTGCTTCATGTAGGCAATACTACAAAGATACACACAAAATAAACAGCAAACCTTTCTCTCCCAGACAGGCCAGAAAAGTATCAGGTTAGGATGAGGTTTGCCACTGTACTGTCTCATCARCATTACTCTGAAGGGACAGCTCATAACCAAAGGGACAGGAAGAACAGGAATGAACTTGGAGAGTTTAGCAGACCCTAAGCTTTGTAAAAACACTTCTATAYCTTAACCACAGGTTGCTTTGCAGAGTTTCATCCTACACCATCAATACTTGCCAACTAAATTAGTAAGTCACGGTTATCATTGCTCTACTTATTAAGATATCTATCTTGAAATCATGTCCTTGCATAGGGCACTGAAAACCTGTACATGCAGTACCAACCCCTTCCTGTTCCTTTCACCACCAGGTCTCCACTCTGCCTTGCCCACTCCATGAAAGCAGGAAGAGAAACATCACCTCCTCAAAAAGAAGGGGCCACACCATAATTACMTGGTGAGCGTGAGAAAAAGGAATTCCAAAAGTATAACACCAAATATAACAAGCTGCTCTGTAGTCCCAAGTAAACACCCCATGACTCCCAAGGATGCAGCAATTTCATTTTTCCTGCGTAGTTACTAAAGAACACAAGCACAACAACGTATTCCATAGTTCAATTGAGTAGGTTAATGACAATTATATGAAGAGGCTTTATAGTTTATCTATAAAGTCAGAGAAGTTTATCTGGGATTTGACAGTGCTACAGACACCACAGCACAGTCTTACCGTTGATCCGAGAGATGTGAGTCTCCTTGCAGTTACTGGAGTGGGGGCACTCTTCTCACTGCTCAGATTTGTCTCACCTGCAAAAGGATGCAGAGGAGAATGGTAGAGGAAGAAGGTGTGCATGCACACAGGGAGGGAAATGCAACCAAATTAGACAAGGTTAATTAACTCTGTATACAAAAAACAACATCCCGCGTGGTTGTTGGATTATCAGCTTCACAGCCCAATACCAACTGCTTTTTTACTGCAATCAGCCAGTTCAATAGCAGTCATCTGGACACTTGACAAAGATTAGAGATAGACTACCAGATTACAGCCAGGTTTGATATTTCAGCTTCTGCCAAGTKTACCCACCACAATCCWGATCCATAATGATTGAGARACRAACTGAGAGAYGTTTTAAATATTAAACATGCATAAAAAGCTCTCTAAACCCAAGGTTAACAAAATAGTTTATTTGACTTCCTAATCAGCAGAAGTCACACATGAAGCTATTTTGGGAAGATTCCAATAGTCACGTTTTAAAAACCGCTCCTTTGAGCTGTAAAGGAGGCAATGAGTCTCTGCAACACAAACCAGTTTTTGAACAACAGAGCARTAACAGCACATAAACACTAACAATTATAGCATATCATTGTGTTCTGTGCAATTTTCACTTACTCTTCTGTTTCCTAACCCCTTGRCCTCCTTCAGAGGACAGCAAACTTCTGACTCCATCTGATGGCTTCGCGTTACGGGATCCTTGCAGGGGGGTACGTGCTAGAAATGAAATTTACAGAACAGCAAAGAACTATTAAGGTAAACGATACGGTTTTCAGCTTCGAAAAGTTGAGGCTGACAACACATCCAAGGACAATGTACACTCGCTGTAGGAGACTCGAACATCACCAAACGCTCTCGGTAGCAGCGCCCCAGCCGTGACAAGCCCCGCACATACCGCTTACAGCACTGCACTAGGGAACCAGAAGCCAGAAAGGCTTGGATTGTACACATTCACCGCTGTATTTGGCATGTCAAGGCTGTACACAAAACCGGGACCTTCTTCCTTAGGAAAGGATCCCTGCGAGAGCTCACAGGGTCCTCAGGCACGGCGCTACGGGCAGGGACACACCGAGGCCGGTCCCCGCTCGCTCGGGCACTGAGGAAAGGCTCAGTCCCGCACTCCCCGTGTCCCCTTTCCCCTCCCCTCACGTACCGGCGCTGCCATCGCGGTGGAGCTGGCGGCAAAGCGCGGCGCGCGCGGACGCCATGACGGCTCCGGACCCCGCGGCCCCGCGTTCAAAGGGACCAACGGCCGCCGCGCGCGCCGCCCCGCCAATCAGCTCCCGCCGCCCCGCCCGC